GGTGGTGGTGGTGGTGGTCAGTAGTAGTAGTAGCAATAGTAGTACGTTGGTGCAATCGTAGTTGCAGCCGCAGTCAGTCGCAGAGCAGGAGCGCTAGCATTCTCAGCAGCAGCGGCAGCAACAGCAGCAGCAGCAGCGGCGACAGACACAATTGTTTCTTGTCTACCACATCGTTTTCAGTTTTCATTATTGGTAGCAGCAGCGATAGTGAGGTATTGGCAGCACATCCATTACATGATCATGGTATATGCGTGCGTGGTATGCGCGCATTTGTAGGTGATGGTAACGTAGTGGTCAGTTGGCAGCGGCCGACACCCCAGTTGGAGACATGTGCACTGAGGTCTTCATTGACGGTCGGAGTGCCGGCGAAGAACGGCCTCTCCCACCCTCGATGGCCCAGGAGGCCCAGACTCGCACAAGGAGGCTCTAGACTCTAGATAAGATTGCGTCTAGATTCTAGATTTAGGGTTTGGGGTGTTTTAGGGTGTTCGAGCTTAGGGCTTAGGGTGTAGCTATGATCGAGGATTCGGCGGCTTCTGCTGCCAGGGTTTAAGCATGTGCTCAACTGAGTCTAGACGACTTGATGGTTTTGTATACTGGCATGTATCGTTCTGGCAACTACGGCTGGTACCTTAAGCAAGAAAAGATTTAGGAGAAACTGCAAGCAAGCTTGCAATCGCGTGATCTGTAATCATTTCTTTATACCAGTCTGCAGGGCGCATGGCCTCCCTCCTCCTGCAGGAATGAAGCGGAGAGTCAAATGGTTTTCAACAATTTGCGTGGTGTGAAGCGGCGTATGAGCAGTGCAAAGTTAGACACCCCTGCCCCGAACTGCAGCATCGTTTCGCACCCTGGCTCTCAGGCCTTGTTCCCCACCTTGACGTTTCAGAACGTCACGCCTCCTTGATGCACTGTTGGGACGGGTTTGCGGGGTTCGGCGGCCTTCGTCCTGTAGCTTATAATCGGGCACTGCTCGGTCCCCGAGCACATGCGCCCTGTGAGTCCTTGCCCCAGGCGATTTTAGCCTTGAGCAATGGTTCGCCCGGCTGTGCCCCATTTCCCAGAGTATGGCGGGTTTTGGGACCCAAGCAGGGCATCCGGCGAGCATCAGGAGCACCCGGCGCGCCCGCAGCTGCCTGGAGGCGATGTTTTGCCAGTTTTTGAGTGGGTTGCAGACTCCCCCAAACGGCGCGCATCATGAGGATCAGCAGGGTTCGGCGAAAGGGGGGGTGCGTGGCCTTGCTCCAGGCGTCTACCTGCGGTGCCCGCTTGTGGGCGCACCCCTAGAATACACCATTGCACCACATGCAATTTGCAGAGCTACAGTTTTTAGGCCATAACTCAGAACGGCTCCTAGTCATCTGAACTGGATATCTCAACGTTCGGCTAGAGTGGCTCTTTTGCTATCAGGATTGCTGTTCCTGTTACATCACGCTATTGTATTTACCTACAGCGACAATTGAAGAAGCAAATTATTGCTATGTTTCGTACACTTACTGTTGCTATGGCTATGGCTGTGATGATGATGATAATGATGTTGATCACAATGACGATGCTGATGACTACGATTGTTGACATGATGGTTATTATGATTGCTAGCATTATTTCGATTATCGTTGTTATTTCGACAAGTATTGGAATTCCGATTATCGTTGTTTTTGGTTCTCAACGTCACTATTACTGCCTGTTGCTGGTAGTGTTACTGTCACCATGGACTACGCATGCGGCTACAGCCAGTGTTACTGCGACCCCGGCCACCCTGCCCCTGGCACCGTGTCTCTCTCCCCCTAAGCCCCACAACCAAGATCACACCATCCTCCAAATGCAAACGTCCACAGTGCTGCGACGCTGGTTGGACAGCAGAAAACCTTATCCTTGTCCGATGTTTTTTATTGATCTCTTTTGATTTTGTTTTGATCCGACAGGTGGGAAACTTGAGCATACCTTCCAGGAGATATGACAATTTGTTTTTTCTTGATCCCTAACTCGATTTGTTTTTGATCCCAGACATGTTATTATTTTGGATCACTGTTTGACTTTTTGATCCTTCAGCCCTCCCAATGCCCTGTACTGAAAACTATTGGGCAGTTACGTCCTGGAATGATAAATGTGGTAGATGCTACTGTACATCCCAAAATCAACTTGAATCCACAGATTCTGGCAAAGCATTGAATTTCGTGACTCCGTGCTTTTTCTCGTGCAAATCTGTCCGAAAAGCAGAACATAACTTCGCTTTGCCTATCAATTGCATTTACTAGATCCAATAATTGTTCATCTGTTCATTCAGTTAAATCATCTTTGCGCTGCATAAGCTGCCATGTCCATTCGAGCTTGGCCTTGTTTTGACCCCGAAAGGGGGCTCATTTCTGTTTAGACATTGCAACACGCAAGGCAGCAAATCTACTGGCAGTCGGAAGCAGTGTGGTGGGCGATGCGAGAGCGTCACTATATATGGTCACGCGCTCCGCGCCCCCC